CCTCATAGCTGGTTGGTTTGGTTCATGGCTTATAATGCTTCAACCAAGACCTTTTTAAAATCCCTATGGGAAAAAATGAATGAAAAAAAAACGGGGCTGGCACTAATGCGCTAATGCATAGAATTTGAGCTTGTTTCACAGAAGTTTGCATCACTGATTCTGTTATTTTCCAGTTTATTAATGTGAAGCTGCTTTGAAACAATCTGTATTGTATAAAGCGCTGTAGAAATAAATGTGACTCCACTTGATTTGTACACCTGTTTAGCCATGACCTCTCATTTTCAATGCACTATAATAGTCACCCGTGTTTATCTGCATCGAATGCAACACACTCCACATCTGATATATGCTAGAGTTTCATCTGCTCAGAGCCTCAGGAGAGCGAAACGAACGCACACGCACACAAAGGTCCGGCCACAGAAATCATTTCTCTTACCCGCTGAAAATGAGCAGGCATTGCTTTATAAAGAACATCACAAACAGATAAGAGAAATGAATTAACACCGGCCTTATCGCGCCGCTTGCCAACACGACGGTGAACTTCAAATTTGCCAAATCAGGAAACACGCGTGCGGAGCGATTCCTCAAAGACACGCACACGTTCTGGAGAGAAACGAAGCAGAAAAATAGAATTTTAACTGAAGTGATCCCAGCCACAGTTAATTAATATAAAATCACGGAGAGATAAAAGCTTGTGCATTATATCTGTAACGGTGGAAATAAATAAATAAATAAATAAACATAAAATGGATATATTTAATTTGCAGTTATTACAGCACTACGAGACCAAAGAGATGTTTCACCCACAGAGAACTGAAGATTCGCATTTGCAAGCAGATGATATAGTTTGTCAGCGGCGTTCATGACAAACTGATGCAATTTCAGCGGTGTCGCGAGAGCGGCCTGATATTTGTCTCGTTCTGGTTGCTCCGAGCTCCAGATTTGAATCGCAGGGGTCCAAGGGCCCTTCTCCTGACAGGACACAAATAATTACAGGCCGCTCTCTTCATTGGCTCTTATATTGCTCCTCTTATCTGAAGGCCTGCGGTGCATTTGATCAAGTAAGGTCACTGTATTCTGACCATAACACAACATAACACTGCTATTTGGCGATACGATAAATAAAAGCCAGACAACGTTTTATCAGTTGTGTTATAGGCTGTGTGTGTGCGCTTTAAGAAAGTATTTTCACTAAATGTGTTTTTGCTACAAGTCTGACTGATTTCCAGGTTCTCTTCCAATGCAGACGATTATTTCAGATTTAAATATGCAGTACATCACCTGACCTGCAGGGGTCAAGCGGTTCAAGAGCTCAATAGTGTATATGTCGAACGTCACCTGACCAAACCCAGAAAACAGGCCTCATCGCTTCCACTTGTCGGAAAACGTGCTGTAATTAATAATAGCGATATATATGGACTTAATCAGTTAAAATAGCTAGCAATTTATTAAATTTTTATATCTAAATGTTAGTGAAAAGAATAAAAATTAAAAAAACTCTTAGATATCAATCCGCATATGTGATGGACACTGGTTATGATATCTACTTCGAAGGCATCTTGAGTAAAACTGCTTCATATTTAACAATGCATATGCAAAACGCTTGAACCGGAAGCGACGAGATTCGTTTAACAGAATACGGAAGTCTGTTGCGTATAAACCATAGACTGTATAAAAACATGGACGTAGTGTTCGTGAAGTCACCCGTAGATTTCCGAAGAGCGTTTTTGAAGCTCAAAAGTGGGCGGAGGCGGCCGTCGCCATCTTGGCAGCGCGTCACTTCCGGATAATCGAAAATGGGCAAAGAGGCGGGAGCTGGTTGCTAATCTAACAAACACGCCTGACAGGTACAGTGTACTGGTATTTGCTAAATCAGAGTGAATTTGATTTTATATTTAGCATTAATTATTAAATGTACTGTATGAAACAATTTATCTCAAGCAGTTTGGCTAACTGTACCAAACTCTGCAAAGACTCGAATAATTGAGTAAAAATGATCCTTCTGTCATCATTTACTCACCTTCATGTCAATCCAAACCAGTATTACGCTCTTTCTCCTGTACAACACTAAAGGAGAAATCAAAGAGCACCATAAAAATTTAATATAGCATCATGAAAGAATCATAAAAGTATGCTAACAGAAGTTGACATGACTTGTGCTAACGTTACATTCGAGTCTTTTTAAAGCAACAGTTCATCAAATAAACTATATTTCTGTCGTTATTTACTCACCCTCACGACTGTAAAGGACTAAAACACGGAAACATTTCTCACAATATCTTATTTTGTGCTCCACAAGAAACTCCGTTATTCGCTCAAAATCTTCCCGCCATAAATTCAAACGTGCCTATATTATAATCAGGAGCAAGAGCCAATGAAATTTGAGCTCAGTTCCCGCGCTTCGGGTGTTTATCGTGATTTGAATGGATGATTTTCAGTGAAGCATAAGAATTACAGTGTATTATAATAATCTATAAAATTCCTATAATAAACCTGATCACCTCTATGATTCACACAAATGGTCAAACGACCCAAAAGAACAAAAATAAATGACTATTTAGAGCTAAAATCATTTCTGTTGTGCATGTGCATGAATATTTCTTTGTGTAACAATCACAATTATTTCGTCTAGCCAAAATATATTTTGATTATATGTTAAATGTATGTTGTAAACAGTGAACCTCAATGAAATATATTTTGAAATTGAAAATATATTTTCAACCTTCATATACCAAAATATATTTCAAGGGCAAGAAAACACATTTTCAGTCTTACATGGATAGCTTACTAGAGATAGAGAAACTAACAATTTAATAACGTTTACTTTTTTACTTAATATATATACTTACATTGTAATATTGTAATTATTCTTACATTGTAAAGTATGTTCCTTGCATATTTTGTATTCAAATGTGTTACATGTTTGTTACATGCTTTAAAAATGTATTGTATTTTTAAAATATAAAAATGGCCCAAAATATATATGGGAAGAAAATATATTTTGAAACATATTTTCGTAACACTTTACGATAAGGTTCCATTAGTTAATGTTAGTTTATATATTAACTTGACTTTCTTCTTTCAGACGAATCCAGTCGGAGTTATATTAAAAATTGTCTTTGATCTTTCAAGCTGTTTAATGCCACTCAGCGGGTGTTGCATGCATCAGTCCAAAAGAAGTGAAATAAAAAGCGCCCATCCATAAAAAAACAAAATCCTCAATTTTTGATCAAAACAAAACAACGGTCACTAATTAGAACTACAAAACGAGGATTTGTAAAGAAGAATGTCAGAGGATTTCGATATAAGTCAAGAGGAGACTGGTTTTCCTTTGCTAAAGTAAGGAAACTTTGCTTCCTTTGCTCCTGTTAACAAACGTTGGCTTTCACGAGACTCACCGGCGCATGCGCAATGCCGACATCTTACGTCATCCTCCCGAAACAGCTTAAAAGAGCAAAGACAATTTTTAATATAACTCCGACTGGATTCGTCTGAAAGAAGAAAGTCATATACACCTAGGATGCCTCGAGGGTGAGTAATTTATGGGCTAATTTTCATTTTTGGGTGAACTAACCTTTTAAGTAATAAATAATTAACTTAATAAATTGTCTTTATAAGTGCAAATTGGGAGGTACATTTCTAGTTCTCTGCATGCTTTGCATATAAGGAGAATAAACGTTTTTGTTTTTTTGTTATTTAGTAAATGGAGACACCTGTTATCGTTTAATGCTGACATGATTGACTTTTAAAAGAGTTTGTTGATTTTTTACTTAAAATGTTTTAGTTTTTGTGGTTATCGTTGTGCTAAAATTACATCTTCAACAGTGTAATTAGATTACTGTACTCATTACTCTCTCTGAAAAGTATTGCATTACTTATTATTAATTACTTTCTAAATCCCATATCGACCTTGACCGGTTGAGCAATACAGGATAGACATGAAACTGCTCGTTTATTTCTTGCAAATAATTAATATAAAGTTATTCTTAAAGCATTTAAGGTTACATTAAATACATACATTTTAATTTTGATGTATTGTTTTATATATAATTGTTCTATAGCCTATACAGTATTTAATGCAATTACATCAGTAAATAAATTAAATAAAAATGTAAATAAATTACAAAAAAATTAAGAGCAATCCCTTACTTTACTTTTTCATGGGGACTTGAAGTGAACTTTATTACTTGGTAAGGCATTACACCCAACACTGCTGGTGACTACATTAATGTATATACTACAATAAAAATAGGAGCTTAAATTTATGCAAAATCATTTATAATAATTTATGCAAATAATACATTTTGCATGTGCTATTATAAAAATAGATCAGACTAATTTATTCTATGTTCACCATTCTATTATTGTTGAAAAAGGTTAGTGAACAATATTTTTTTGAGCAATCAACTTTTGTGTTTATGCAACAAAATATTGAGTTCCTCTAACACAGTGTAGCTTGCTGGTTGAACATAATTTTATTAGAAATCGTCATAACTCCAAAAGATTGATGCAAACTGATGCATTAATTTTTTTTAGCGTGCAGAAACTACAAGCCACTTTAAACTGAAGCCAAAAACATGAAGTCGAGATTCATTCCTTTATTAAGGTTGCACAGGAATGTAGAGTAAAAAATACTTGCGATTAAGAAAATCTGTTAGAACAATGAATCAACTTAAACGTTCCAAAATTTCAGGCTACAAAGCAAAATAAAAAAATATACATATGTATATCCGTCCGTCGTGCACGAGCTCCCAGAAGCCTCGTCGATTATTGATGCTCTTAAATACTGATTATGAGAGTATAATGCTTCATTCTGTACATACGAGAGAAAGGAGAACAGAAAACGCTTCAGAAGGCCTTCCCCTGCTGGATCATTGCCTAATGCGACATTCAGTCTGAGACGAACGAGCTGTGAATCGTGAAGAGACGATCGCTGGATCTTCAACCGAGTGAAGGTACAAATATGAAGAGATTCAGATTCTGGGTTTATTAATGTAGTGTTATCATTAAGTCTGTGCAGCTTTTTCTTGCATGATCATACTGTGGAATAAAGAAAGGCGGTGGTTTGATGAATTACGCGATCGCTTTGGCTTCAGGTAAGAACGCCTCCCAGTATTTTATCAGCTGAAAACAGACAAAACAAACATGAGATGAACATTCCCAGCTGCTGATCTGGAGCTGGTCAGTCGTGATGGTTAAACACGTACCTGCTGCTGTGTGTGAACTAGTGACTCCAGATATTTAATAATGACGACTCTGAAATCCTTCACTCTGTCTTTCTGTGAAGAGAAAAAGACCCTCAGGTCAGAGAAACCAGCGTTGGGTTTAACAGCGAGAGCAAAGACACGCTACTCACCTCGAATCGTCCAACTTCTCGACGGATGTTTTTTGATATCTGCTCAAAATCTCTTTCACCCTGCTGCACTTTACCTTCCCACTAAACACACACACACACACACACATA